CCTACCCATACTGGGACAGCTCTAACCCATACTGGGATGACCTTACCCATACTGGGACAGCTCTAACCCATACTGGGACATCCCTAACCCATACTGGGACAGCTCTAACCCATACTGGGCCAGCTCTAACCCATACTGGGATGACCTTACCCATACTGGGACAGCTCTAACCCATACTGGGATGAGCTTACCCGTACTGGGATGGCTCTAACCCATACTGGGATGGCTCTAACCCATACTGGGATAACCCTACCCATACTGGGATGACCCTACCCATACTGGGATGATCTTACCCATACTGGGACAGCTCTAACTCATACTGGGATGACCTTACCCATACTGGGATGACCTTACCCATACTGGGACAGCTCTAACCCATACTGGGCCAGCTCTAACCCTTACTGGGCCAGCTCTAACTCATACTGGGACAGCTCTGCCCCCAGTACCCCCCAACACCCTTTTCCCCCAGCGTACAACGACAGCGTCCAGGCCGCCTGCAACGCCCCATACTGGGATGGCTCTAACCCATACTGGGATGACCCTACTCATACTGGGACAGCTCTATCTCATACTGAGATGACCCTACCCATACTGGGATAACCCTACCCCATACTGGGATGACCCTACCCATACTGGGACAGCTCTATCTCATACTGGGATGACCCTACCCATACTGGGACAGCTCTAACCCATACTGGGATGACCTTACCCATACTGGGACAGCTCTAACCCATACTGGGATGACCCTACCCATACTGGGACAGCTCTAACCCATACTGGGATGACCCTACCCATACTGGGATGGCTCTAACCCATACTGGGATGACCCTACCCATACTGGGACAGCTCTAACCCATACTGGGATGACCCTACCCATACTGGGACAGCTCTAACTCACACTAGGCCAGCTCTACCCCATACTGGGATGACCCTACCCATACTGGGATGATCTAACCCATACTGGGATGGCCCTACCCATACTGGGACTGCTCCAACTCATACTGGGATGACCCTTCCCTTACTGGGACAGCTCTGTCTCACACTGGAATGACCCTACCCATACTGGGATGACCTTACCCATACTGGGACAGCTCTAACCCATACTGGGATAGCCCTACCCATACTGGGACAACTCTAACCCATACTGGGCCAGCTCTAACTCATACTGGGATGACCCTACCCATACTGGGACAGCTCTAACCCATACTGGGATGACCCTACCCATACTGGGACAGCTCTAACCCATACTGGGACGACCCTACCCATACTGGGACAGCTCTATCTCATACTGGGATGGCCCTACCCATACTGGGATGGCTCTATCTCACACTGGGCCAGCTCTGGCCCCCCCAACACCCTTTTTCCCCCCCCCAGCGTACAACGACAGCGTCCAGGCCGCCCGCAACGCCGCCTGCGCCCCCGGGCGTTACAACGAGCAGCCGGACGACGCCGTCCCCAACTACCCCAAGCGCGCCTGCCGCTTCAACCGCTCCCTGCTCGGGCCCTGCGCCGGCCTCGGCCCCCACGGCTCCTACGGCTACGGCACCGGCCAGCCCTGCGTGCTCGTCAAGGTCAACAGGGTGAGTGCGGCACTGGGGGGGAATGGGGGGCACTGGGAGGGACTGGGGGGCACTGGGAGAGGGGTTATGGGCTGGTATTGCAGTGTAGTGTTGAGTGGAATGGCACTGAGAGGCACTGGGAGGCACTGGGGGGGAATGAGGGGGCACTGGGAGAGGGGCTGGGGGCTGGTATTGCAGTGTAGTGTTGAGTGGAATGGCACTGGGAGGCACTGGGAGGGCACTGGGATGGACTGGGAGGCACTGGGATGGTGCCTGGTGGTGATTGAGAATGAGTTGGGTAGGACTGGGTTGGACTGGGATGGACTGGCAGGCACTGGGACGGTGCCTGGTGGTGACTGAGAATGAGTTGGGATGGACTGTGTATGACTGGGAGGGCACTGGGAGGGCACTGGGAGGCACTGGGATTGACTGGGAGAGGGGTTATGGGCTGGTACTGTAGGGTAGTGTTGAGTGGAAGGGCACTGGGAGCACTGGGAGGGCACTGGGAGGCACTGGGACGGTGCCTGGTGGTGCTTGAGAATGAGTTGGGTTGGACTGTGTATGACTGGGATGGACTGGGATGGTGCCTGCTAGTGACTGAGTTGTGCTGGACTGGGAGGCACTGGGAGGGCACTGAGGGGCACTGGGATTGACTGGGAGAGGGGTTATGGGCTGGTACTGTAGGGTAGTGTTGAGTGGAATGGCACTGGGAGGGCACTGGGAGGCACTGGGATGGTGCCTGGAGGTGACTGAGAACGAGTTGGGTTGGACTGTGTATGACTGGGAGGGCACTGGGAAGCACTGGGAGGGCACTGGGAGGCACTGGGGGGCACTGGGACTGACTGGGAGAGGGGCTGTGGGCTGGTAGTGCAGTGTAGTGTTGAGTGGAATGGCACTGGGAGGCACTGGGAGGGCACTGGGACGGTGCCTGGTGGTGACTGAGAATGAGTTAGGATGGACTGAGAGGCACTGGGAGGGCATTGGTAGACACTGGGATGGACTGGGAGGCACTGGGATGGTGCCTGGTGGTGCTTGAGAATGAGTTGGGTTGGACTGGGAAGGCACTGGGATGGACTGGGAGGCACTGGGATGGTGCCTGGTGGTGATTGAGAATGAGTTGGGTTGGACTGGGAGCACTGGGATGGACTGGGATGGTGCCTGGAGGTGCTTGACTGTGAGTTGTGTTGGACTGGGATGGACTGGGAGGCACTGGGATGGTGCCTGGTGGTGATTGAGAATGAGTTGGGTTGGACTGGGAAGGCACTGGGATGGACTGGGAGGCACTGGGAGGGACTGGGATGGTGCCTGGAGGTGTTTGACAATGAGTTGTACTGGACTGGGAGATACTGGGAGGGCACTGGGAGGCACTGGGACAGTGCCTGGTGGTGCTTGAGACAATGAGTTGGGTTGGACTGTGTATGACTGGGAGACACTAGGATGGACTGGGAGGGCACTGGGGGGGCACTGGGAAGCACTGGGAGGGCACTGGGAGGCACTGGGAGCACTGGGCCCTGCGCCGGCCTCGGCCCCCACGGCTCCTACGGCTCCGGCACCGGCCAGCCCTGCGTGCTCGTCAAGGTCAACAGGGTGAGCACCCAGCTGGGAGCACTGGGAGGCACTGGGAGGCACTGGGAGGCACTGGGATGGTGCCTGGTGGTGATTGAGAATGAGTTGGGTTGGACTGTGTATGACTGGGAGGCACTGGGATGGACTGGGAGGGCACTGGGAAGCAGTGTGAGAGCACTGGGAGGTACTGGGAGAGGGGCTGTGGGCTGGTATTGCAGTGTAGTGTTGAGTGGAATGGCACTGGGATGGACTGGGAGGGCACTGGGAGGGCACTGGGAGGGCACTGGGAGGCACTGGGAGGCACTGGGAGAGGGGTTATGGGCTGGTACTGTAGGGTAATGTTGAGTGGAATGGCACTGGGATGGACTGGGAGGCACTGGGATGGTGCCTGGTGGTGATTGAGAATGAGTTGGGTTGGACTGGGAGGCACTGGGATGGACTGGGAGGCACTGGGAAGCAGTGTGAGAGCACTGGGAGGTACTGGGAGAGGGGCTGTGGGCTGGTACTGTAGGGTAATGTTGAGTGGAATGGCACTGGGAGGCACTGGGAGGCACTGGGAGGGCACTGGGAAGGCACTGGGAGGGCACTGGGAGGGCACTGGGAGGCACTGGGAGGGCACTGGGAGGCACTGGGATGGTGCCTGGTGGTGACTGAGAACGAGTTGGGTTGGACTGTGTATGACTGGGAGGCACTGGGATGGACTGGGAGGGCACTGGGAAGCAGTGTGAGAGCACTGGGAGGTACTGGGAGAGGGGCTGTGGGCTGGTACTTTAGGGTAATGTTGAGTGGAATGGCACTGGGAGGCACTGGGAAGCACTGGGAGGGCACTGGGAGGGCACTGGGAGGCACTGGGAGGCACTGGGAGAGGGGTTATGGGCTGGTATTGCAGTGTAGTGCTGAGTGGGAGGGCACTGGGAGCACTGGGAGGCACTGGGGGGCACTGGGATGGTGCTTGGTGGTGATTGAGAATGAGTTGGGTTGGACTGGGATGGACTGGGAGGGCACTGGGTCAGACTGGGATGGTCTGGGATGGACTGGGAGGCACTGGGACGGTGCCTGGTGGTGACTGAGAGTGAGTTGGGTTGGACTGTGTATGACTGGGATGGACTGGGATGGTGCCTGGAGGTGCTTGAGAATGAGTTGGGTTGGACTGGGAGCACTGGGATGGACTGGGATGGTGCCTGGAGGTGTTTGACAATGAGTTGTGCTGGACTGGGAGGTACTGGGAGGCATTGGGAGGGCACTGGGAGGTACTGGGAGGGCACTGGGAGGGCACTGGGAGGGCACTGGAATGGACTGGGATGGACTGGGAGCACTGGGACAGTGCCTGGTGGTGTTTGGCAATGAGCTGTGCTGGACTGGGAGGCACTGGGATGGACTGGGATGGTGCCTGGAGGTGCTTGGCTGTGAGTTGTGTTGGACTGGGATGGACTGGGATGGACTGGGATGGACTGGGATGGACTGGGATGTTGCTCACTGCAACACCATACTGGTCCCTACTGGTCCCTACTGGTCCATGCTTCTCTGTACCGCTCTATACTGGTTTATACTGGTCCATACTGGTTTATATTGGTCCATACTGGTTTATGCTGGTCCATACTGGTTTATGCTGGTCCGTACTGGTCCATACTGGTCACTTCCACCCCCCTTCTGCAGGTCATCAACTTCTTCCCGGGGAAGAACAAGAGCATCAACATCGTCTGCGCCGCCAAGGTGACGTCACTGTCACCCCCGGTGTCCCCAACCCCCCAGTGTCACCAGCCCCCCTAGTCAGTCACCTCCCCCAGTGTCACCTCAGACCCCCTCTGGTGTCACCAACCCCCAGTGTCACTGTCACCCCCAGTGTCCCCATCTTCCCCCCTCGGGGTGTCCCCAGTGTCATCAGTGTCCCCCCTGTCCCCTCAGGGTGTCCCCCAATGTCCCCCAAGCCCCCCAATGTCCTCAATGTCCCCCAATGTCCCCCAGTGTCCCCAATGTCCCCCAATGTCCCCTCAATGTTCCCAATGCCCCCAATGTCCCCAATGTCCCCCAATCCCCCAATGTCCCCAATGTCCCCCAATGTCCCCAGTGTCCCAATGTCCCCCAATGTCCCCCAATGTCCCTAAAGTGCCTCAACCCCCAATGTCCCCCAATGTCCCCAATGTCCCCGTCCCCCAATGTCCCCAGTGTCCCAATGTCCCCAATGTCACCAATGTCCCCCAATGTCCCCAATGTCCCCATCCCCCCAATTGCTCATTCCCAGAATGTATCCCAGTGTCACTAATTGTCCCTCAATGTCACCAATGTGCATTCCCCCAATGTCCTCCCAATGTCCCAATGTCCCCAATCCCCAATGTCCCCAGTGTCCTCCTTAATGTCCCAAAGTGTCCCAACGTCCCCAATGTCACAATGTCCCCAATGTCCCCCAATGTCCCCAATGTCCCCCCAATGTCCCCCAATGTCCCAATGCCCAATGTCCCCAATGTAATCCCCAATGTATCCCAATGTCTACCAATGTCCCCACAATGTCCCCCAATGCCCCCAATGTCCCCCAATGTTCTCCACAATGTCGTCCACATTCCCCCTCAGGATGTCGCCAGTGTCCCCCATGTCCCCTCAAGTCCGGTGTCCCCAATGTCCCCAATGTCCCCCAATGTCCTCAATGTCCCCCAATGTCCCCAATCCCCCAATGTCCCCCAATGTCCCCCCAATGTCCCCCAATGTCCCCAATGTCCCCTCACTGTCTCTTGTCTCTGCCCAGCGGCCCCGGACCAAGGGTAACCCGGTAAGGGGGGGAATCCCCCTGGAACCCCCCCAAAATCTGCTCAATTCACCCCAAAATCCCTCTAGGAGCCTCAAAATCCGCTGGTTTCACCCCAAAATCCCTCTAGAAATCCCAAAATCTGCTCAATTCACCCCAAAATCCCTCTAGGAATCCCCAAAATCTGCTCAGTTCACCCCAAAATCCCTCTAGGAATCCCAAAATCTGCTCAATTCATCCCAAAATCCTTCTAGGAATCCCCAAAATCTGCTGGTTTCACCCCAAAATCCCTCCCAGAGCCCCAAAATCTGCTGATTTCACCCCAAAATCCCTCTAGGAATCCCCAAAATCTGCTCAATTCACCCCAAAATCCCTCTAGGAGCCCCAAAATCTGCTCCTTTCACCCCAAAATCTGCTCAATTCACCCCAAAATCCCTCTAGGAATCCCCAAAATCCCTCCAGGAATCCCCAAATGTGCTCAATTCACCCCAAAATCCCTCTAGGAGTCCCCAAAATCTGCTGATTTCACCCCAAAATCCCTCCAGGAGCCCCAAAATCCGCTCCTTTCACCCCAAAACGCTGCTGGGCGTCCCCAATCCCTGCTGGGTGTCCCCTCAATGTCCCCTCAGTGTCCCCAACGTCCCTGTCCTGTCCCCCCAACGTCCCTGCTGTCCCCCAATGTCCCCAAGGTCCCCATCCCCTGTCCCAAATGTCCCCCAATCGTCCTGACTGTCCCCAATGTCCCCTGTCCTGTGCCCCCACTGTCCCAGCTGTCCCCCAATGTCCCTGTCCCATGTCCCCAATGTCCCCAATGTCCCTCAATGTCCCTGCTGTCCCCACTGTCCCCAATGTCCCTGTCCCGTGTCCCCAATGTCCCAGCTGTCCCCTCTGTCCCTGTCCTGTCCCAGCTGTCCCCCAATGTCCCTGTCCTGTCCCCCCAATGTCCCTCAATGTCCCCAATGTCCCAGCTGTCCCCAATGTCCCTGTCCTGTCCTGCTGTCCCTGTCCTGTCCCCCAATGTCCCTCAATCTCCCTGTCCTATCCCCCCAATGTCCCAGCTGTCCCCAATGTCCCCAATGTCCCTGTCCCGTGTCCCCAATGTTCCAGCTGTCCCCCGCTGTCCCTGTCCTGTCCCTGCTGTCCCTCAATGTCCCTCAAGGTCCCTGCTGTCCCCATCCCCTGTCCTCACTGTCCCTGCTGTCCCTGTGTCCCTGTCCCGCTGTCCCCAATGTCCCTGTCCTGTCCCCCCCGTGTCCCTGCTGTCCCCACTGTCCCCACTGTCCCCAATGTCCCCAATGTCCCCCCAGTCCCCCAACGTCCCCAATGTCCCTGTCCTGCTGTCCCCAATGTCCCTCAATGTCCCTGTCCTGTCCCCCCAATGTCCCTGATGTCCCCAATGTCCCCCCCCATCCCAGCTGTCCCCCAATGTCCCTGTCCTGTCCCCTGTCCTGTCCCCCTGATGTCCCCAATGTCCCCAGAGCGTCCCCATTGTCCCTGTCCTGTCCCCGCTGTCCCCATGTCCCCAATGTCCTCAATGTCCCCAATCCCCCCAATGTCCCCAATGCCCCCCATGTCCCTGTGTCCCTGTCCTGTCCCCAATGTCCCCAATGTCCCTGTCCTGTCCCTGCTGTCTCCAATGTCCCCAATGTCCCTGTCCTGTCCCCCTGATGTCCCCAATGTCCCCCAATGTCCCTGTCCTGTCCCAGCTGTCCCCGCTGTCCCTGTCCTGTCCCCCCAATGTCCCTGCTGTCCCCAATGTCCCTGTCCTGTCCCTGCTGTCCCCAATGTCCCCCCCTGTCCCAGCTGTCCTCAATGTCCCTGTCCTGTCCCAGCTGTCCCCATGTCCCAATCCCCCAATGTCCCCAATGCCCCCCATGTCCTGTGTCCCTGTGTCCCTGTCCTGTCCCCACTGTCCCCAATGTCCCTCAATGTCCCTGTCCTGTCCCCGCTGTCCCTGTCCTGTCCCCCCAATGTCCCTGATGTCCCCAATGTCCCCCCATCCCTGCTGTCCCCCAATGTCTCAATGTCCCCAATGTCCCTGTCCTGTCCCCTGTCCCTCTCACGGTCTCTCTCTCGCTGCCCGCGGGGCCCAGGGACACTCGGCCACCACCGTAAGGGGACCGGGGGGGCACTGGGGGAAACTGGGAGGGCACTGGGCTGGGAGGCACTAGGGGAAGCTGGGAGGGCACTGGGAGGCACCGGGGGGGAGTTGGGGATCCCCAGTGGGGGGTTTGGGGGTCTCGAGGGCGTTTTGGGGGTCCAAGGGGGGTTTTGGGGAGTCTCAGGGGGGAGGTTAGGGGGTATTGGGGGGATTTGGGGGCACCAGAGGGTCCTTGGACTGGGGTCTTGGAGGGGAATTTTGGGGGTCCCCAGGGTGTATTTAGGGGGTTTAAGGGGTCTTTGGGGGAGGTGTAGGAGGGTCTTTATGGGGGTTATTTAGGGCAGGGGGCTTAGGAGTATTTGGGAGGGGCTGAGGGTATTTTGGGGACCCAGGGGTATTTTGGGGGTCAGGGGATATTTTGAGGGTCAGAGGTATTTTGGGGGTAATTTTTAATGGGGGGGCTCTTTAGGAGGAGTCTTTACTGGGGTTTATTTGGGGGCTGAGGGTATTTGGGGGCCCAGGGGGTATTTTGGGGTCAGGGTGCATTTTGGGGGTCAAGGGGGTATTTGGGGTGATTTTTTTAATGGGGGGCTCTTTAGGAGGGTCTTTACTGGGGTTATTTGGGGGCCCTGGGAAGTGAATTTGAGGGCCCGGGAGGTATTTTGGGAGGCCGGGTAGTATTTTGAGGAGGTCAGGGGGTATGTTGTGGGGTCTAAAGGGGGTAGTTTTGGGGGTCAGGGGATATTTGGGGGCAGGGAGGTATTTGACGGGTCAGAGATCGGGGGTCGGGATTTTGGGAGTCAGGGGAGATTAGGGTATTTGGGGTCAGGAATGGGGGCGAGGTATTTGGGGCCCGGGAGAAGTTATTTTGGGGAGTCAGAAGGTCAGTATTTAGGGGCCCAGGGGGTATTTTGGGGTCAAGGGGTGTTATTTTGGGGGTGATTTTTTTAATGGGGGTCTGTTTAGGAGGTCTTTACTGGGGTTATTTAGCTCAGGGGTGTTAGGGTTGTTTTTGGGGGTCAGATAAGGGTGGCCCCCTTCCAAGGGACATTTGGGGACCCCCCTGCCCCCCCAGCGCGAGGGAGGACGCCGCCCTCCTGGAGCCCCCTCCAGCTCTTCCCCCCCAACGGTTCCATCGACCTCATGTACTTCCCCTACTACGGCAAGAGGGTCCACGTGAGTGACACCCCCGGGACCCCCGGGAGGAGAGGACCCCGAGACCCCCGAGAACAGGGACCACCCTGGAGGGTCGGGGGGGTCCCAAAAATCTGGGTGTCCCCGGTGGGTGGGGGGGGTCGTGGGTGCTTGGGGGTCCCACCAAGGGGGTTTTCCTGGAGGTTTTGGGGTCAGGGTCACCCCAGGGGTGGGGGGGACCTCCAAGACCACCTGAAGAGCTGGGACCACCCTGGGGGGTCATGGGAGGAAGGGGGGTCCCAAAAATCTGGGTGACTCTGGTGGGTGGGAGGGTCGTGTGGGTGTTTGGGAGTCCCACCAGTGGGTTTTCCTGGAGGATTTTGGGGTCAGGGTCACCCCGGGACCCCGGGGTGGGTGGGGGGAGCCCCAGGACCCCTAAGAGCTGGGACCACCCTGGGGAGTCGGGGGTCCCAAAATCTGGGTGTCCCCAGTGGGTGGGGGGTCGTGGGTGCTTAGGGGGTCCCACCAAGGAGGTTTTCCTGGAGGTTTTGGGGTCAGGGTCACCCGGGAGAGGGGGACCCCGAGACCCCCGAGAGCCGGGACCACCCTGGGGGGTCGGGGGGGTCCCAAAAATCTGGGTGTCCCCGGTGGGTGGGGGGGGTCTCGTGGGTGCTTGGGGGTCCCACCAAGGGGGTTTTCCTGGAGGTTTTTGGGGTCAGGGTCACCCCCGGGAGAGGGAGGGAGACCCCCGAGACCCCCCCGAGAGCTGGGACCACCCTGGGGGGTCATGGGAGGAAGGGGGGTCCCAAAAAATCTGGGTGTCCCCAGTGGGCTTGTGGGTGTTTGGGGGTCCCACCAAGGGGGTTTTCCTGGAGGTTTTGGGGTCAGGGTCACCCCCGGGACCCCCCGAGAGAAGGGGTCATTTTTCCCCCCCTGGATCCCTGGGAATGATTATTTTTTGTCCCTCCCATATCCCTGGGAATAGTTATTTTTTTTTTTCCTCTGGATCCCTGGGAATGGGAATGTTTTGTCCCTCTGTATCCCTGGGAATGGGGGTTGGGTCCTGATCCCTGGAATGGTTATATTTTCTACCCTGGATCCCTGGGATTGGTTATTTTTTGTCCCTCCCATATCCCTGGGAATGGTTATGTTTTTTTCCCCCTGGATCCCTTGGAATGGTCATTTTTCCTCCCTGGATCCCTGGGATTGGTTATTTTTTTCCCCCCTGGATCCCTGGGAATGGGGATGTTTTGTCCCTCTTGGATCCCTGGGAATGGGGGTGTTGGGACACCCCCCTGGATCCCTGGGAATGATGATTTTTTTCCTCCCTGGATCCCTGGAATTGGTTATTTTTTTTTCCCCTGGATCCCTGGGAATGGTTAGATTTTTTTCCCCCCTGGATCCCTTGGAATGGGGGTGTTTTGTCCCTCCCAGATCCTCGGGAATGGGGGTGTTTTGTCCCTCTGTATCCCTGGGAATGGTTATTTTTCCATCCCCCTGGATCCTTGGGAATGGGGGTGTTTTGTCCCTCCTGGATCCCTGGGAATGGGGGTGTTTTTGTGCCCCATCTCACACCTCAATTCACGAGTGTTTCCCCCTCCCCTTTTCCCATGTCCCCCTCCCCTTTTCCCATGTCCCCCCCTTTTCCCATGTCCCCCTCCCCTTTTCCCATGTCCCCCTTTTCCCGTGTCCCCCCTTTTCCCATGCCCCCCCTTTTCCCTGTGTCCCCCCCTTTTCCCATGTCCCCCTTTTCCCATGTCCTCCCTTTTCCGTGTCCTCCCTTTTCCCATGTCCCCTCCTTTTCCCATGTCCCCTTTTCCCATGCTCCCCTTTTCCCAGTGTCCCCTTTTTCCCATGTCCCCTTTTCCCATGTCCTCCTTTTCCCATGTCCCCCCTTTTTCCCATGTCCCCCTTTCCCATGTCCCCTCCTTTCCCATGTCCCCCTTTTCCCATGTCCCCCTTTTCCAGTGTCCCCTTTTCCCATGTCCCCCTTTCCCATGTCCCCTTTTTCCATGTCCCTCCTCCTTTTCCCATGTCCCCCTTTTCCCATGTCCCCCTTTTTTCCCATGTCCCCTCCTTTTCCCATGTCCCCTTTTCCCATGTCCCCTCCCTTTTCCCATGTCCCTCCTTTTCCCATGTCCCCTCCTTTTCCCATGTCCCCCTTTTTCCCGTGTCCCCCTTTTCCCGTGTCCCCCTTTTCCCATGTCCCCCTTTTTCCTATGTCCCCCCTTTTTCCTATGTCCCCTCTTTTCCCATGTCCTCCCCTTTTCCATGTCCCTCCCTTTTCCCATGTCCCCCTTTTCCCATGTCCTCCCCTTTTCCCATGTCCCCCTTTTCCCATGTCCCCCTTTTTCCCATGTCCCCTCCCTTTTCCCATGTCCCCCTTTTCCCGTGTCCCCTCTTCCCATGTCCTCCCCATGTCCCCTCCTTTTTCCCATATCCTCCTTTTTCCCATGTCCCCCTTTTCCCATGTCCCCCTCCTTTTCCCATGTCCCCTCCTTTTCCCATGTCCCTCCTTTTCCCATGCCCCCTCTTTTCCCGTGTCCTTTCTCCTCGTGTCCCTCCCTTTTCCTGTCCCCCATCCCTCCCCCAGGTGAACTACACGCAGCCGGTGGTGGCCGTGCAGTTCCCCAACGCCACGGCCAACGTGGACCACCACGTGGAGTGCCGGCTCAACGCCCACGGGCTCCGCACCGACGACGAGCGCGACAAGTTCGCCGGCCGCGTGGCCTTCCGCCTGCGCATCAACCGCGACTGAAACCCCCACCCCGAGACCCCTCCCCACCCCGTAGCCCCCCCAGAAACCCCCACACCTTCCACCACCCCCAACTCGGGTCTAATCCCCTCCCCACCGCGTCCTCCAAACACCCTTAATCTAAAAGGATAATAATAAATGTACATAGATATTTTTTATATGATAAATCTATTAAAAGGTGCAGTAGGACCCATCCTCCCCCCTGGTTGCTCCCCTCCCCCACCCTGAAAATTGGTGTTTTACCTTCCCACAAAATTTGCCTCTGTTTCGTGTGCCTGGGGTGGTTTGGTGGGTGGGTGGGGATTTGGGGGTTGAGGGGGTTTAGGGGTTTTGGAGGTCAGTGGGTGATGGTGGGGGAGGCCAAGATGGCCGCCGGCCAAGATGGCGGCTTGTGGGGAGAAGAAGCAAGATGGCCGCCCTGCCAGGGGGTGGGTGGGGCCGGGCACCAAGATGGCTGACGTTGCCCCAAGATGGCCGACGTTGCTTGGGTAGGTCAGGAGCAAGATGGCCGCCCTGCCAGGGGGTGGGTGGGGCCAGGCACCAAGATGGCCGACGTTGCCCCAAGATGGCCGACGTTGCCTCAAGATGGCCGACATTGCCCCAAGATGGCCGACATTGCCCCAAGATGGCCAACCTTGGTTGGGTAGGTCAGGAGCAAGATGGCCGCCCTGCCAGGGGGTGGGTGGGGCCAGGCACCAAGATGGCCAACGTTGCCCCAAGATGGCCGACGTTGCCCCAAGATGGCTGACGTTGCTCGGGTAGGTCAGGAGCAAGATGGCCGCCATCAAAAGTCAATATGGTGGTGGCATCACCTGTGGGTTGGTGGAGGCCAAGATGGCTCCCGTGGGCACTGGGGATGAGGCCCAAGATGGCCGCCAATGTGGTGGAAGGGTGAGGCTGCCATTGGCTGAGCTGGCCAAGATGGCCACCGTTATGCAAATGAGGTCAAAGATGGTCACAATTATGCAAATGAGGACCAAGATGGCCACCAACGTGGTGGGAGGACGAGGCTGCCATTGGCTGAGCTGGCCAAGATGGCCACCGTTATGCAAATGAGGCCCAAGATGGCCACGATTATGTAAATGAGGTCCAAGATGGCGACCATTATGTAAATGAGGTCCAAGAGGGTCACCATTATGCAAATAAGGTCCAAGATGGCCGCCAACGTGATGGGAGGGCAAGGCTGCCATTGGCCGAGCTGGCCAAGATGGCCGCCGTTATGCAAATGAGGTCCAAGATAGTGGCCGTTATGCAAATGAGGTCCAAGATGGCCACCTATATGCAAATGAGGCCCAAGATGGTTGCCAAGGTGACGGAGGGGCGAGGCCACCATTGGCTGAGCTGGCCAGGATTGCCCCGCCCACAACCCAATATGGCGGCTTCTGGTGGCCATCTTGGAGAGCGCTGTTGCCATGGCAACCTGGTGGCCATCTTGGATCCTTGACGGCCATCTTGGCAGCCATCTTGGACTCTGCCGCCTACGGGAGGAGTTGGAGGCCATCTTGGTGGCCACCTGGAAGGTCTGGTGGCCATTTTGGTGGCCATCTTGAATCTTCAGTGACCATCCTGGTGGCCATCTTGAGTCCTCTGGTGGCCATCTTGAATCTTCAATGACCATCCTGGTAGCCCTCTTGAATTCTTGGTGGCCATCTTGAATCTTCAGTGACCATCCTGGTAGCCATCTTGAGTTCTTGGTGGCCATCTTGGTGGCCATCTTGAGTCCCTGGTGGCCATCTTGAATCTTCAATGACCATCCTGGTGGCCACCTTGAATTCTTGGTGGCCATTTTGGTGGCCATCTTGACTCCTCAGTGACCATCCTGGAAGCCATCTTGAATTCTTGGCGGCCATCTTGGTGGCCATTTTGAATCCCCAGAGACCATCCCGGTGGCCATTTTGAGTCCCTGGTGGCCATCTTGAACCCTCCTTCCTGTAGAGACCTGGCGGCCATCTTGGCCCCCCGCTGCTTGTAGCACATCCTGGCGGCCATCTTGAATCCCAGGCGGCCATTTTGGTGGCCATCTTGGCCCTTCCCCTTCTCCCCATCCCTGCCGCCATCTTGCCCCATCACCCCCCTCCCTGGCAGCCATCTTGGCCCTCCGCCATCTTGAACCCCAGCCCCTCCCCCACAAACCTCCCCCACCCCCATTTTGGGGTGATTTGAGGGTTTTTGGGTACAGTCAGCGTGGGATGGTGGGAGGGGCATCCCCTCAACATTAAAGCTCCGGATTTTGGTTGGAAATCCCTGGGTTTGGTGGCTTTTTGGTAATTTTTTGGTGCTTTTTCATGTTTTTGTGGGGATTTTGGGGTTTTTTTGGTGGCTTTTTCTGCATTTCGATGTTTATTGGTCGTTTCTTTCAGTGGGGTTTTTTTCTGTGTTTTGGCGGATTTTGATTATTTTTTTGGCTTTTTTGGGTGTTTTTTTTGCATTTTACTGGTTTTTGGCTGGTCTTTTGTTCGGTCTTTTTTGTAATTTGACATTTTTTGGTCTTTTTTTACTACAGCTTTTTTTTTGTATTTTGGTGGGGTTTGATGTTTTTGGGGTGGTTTTTTTAGCACTTTTTTTTGGTATTTTGGTAGTTTCTGGTGGGTTTTTTTGCATTTAGTGGTTTTTGGCAGGTTTTCGTGGATTTTTGGTTCCTTTTTTCCCCCCCAGAGTCGAAGGGGCCGCGGGGCCTCCCGGGGGTGGTAATTAGGCCATGGGGGGGGGGTTGGGGTGCTTAATGAGCCTGACGAGCTCGTTAGGGCGGCCCTGCCAGGGCCTGGTGCCCAGACCCCTCCCCCACCCTTGGCAGGGGGACCCCCATTCAGGACGGGGGGGCGGGGCCACGGTGATGACGTAATCGAGGGGAAGGGACACCAAAATCGCCCCAATTCGCCCCAAATCTTTCCGACCCTCCCCCCTCGCCTTCAAATAGGGCCTAATTAGCCCCCACCCCACAATTAACACCCCAAATCCCCCTCCTTAATGAAGTCCTCCTAATAAGGACCCCAAATCCTCCTCCCTAATGAACCCCCCCTAAATTAAGTCACCCCCTCCCCCAAATCTCCCTTCTTAACGACCCCCTAATTAAGACCCCAAATCCCCTTCCCTAATGAACCCCTCCATTGGGAGCCCCCAATTAACACCCCAAGCAGAAAGGCCCCTAATTAACGTGCCCCCAATTAACAACCCCCCTAATAATGACCCTCCCAATGCACCCCCAATTAATAGCCCCCCAATTAACAGCTCCTAATTAACACCCCATTAACTCCTCATTAAAATCCTCCAATAAACCCCCAATTAATAGCACCTAATGAACACTCCCCAATTAATTATTGCTCCCCCTAATTAATAATGCTTAATAAAGACCCCTAAATACCAGCCCCTAATTAATGGCCACTCCCCCCCCAAATTAACACCCTATTGACCCCCCCTTAATTAAGCCCCTGATCAACAATCCAAATTAATTCATCCCCGTTAACTAACCTTTAATTACTCCCCAATAAACTCCCAAAATTAACTCCCCTCTCCTTAATCAACCCCCCAAATTAGTATCTCCTGATTAATTAACCTTTAATTAAACCCCCCAGATGCCTCAAGTTGCCCCCCAGAATTATTCCCTTAAAATTAAAGTCCTCCCTTATTTAACCCCCCAATCAACCCCTCAAATTAATAACTCCTCATTAATTAATGTTTAATTACCCTCCCCCCAGGGACAGCCCAAGTTGCCTCCCCCTGGAATTCCTCCCCCCCCCCAAATTACCTTCCCCTTAACTAAGCCCCAAATTAACACCCTAAATTAATTCCTCTGGATTAATTAGCCTTTAATTAACCCCCAGAGACATCCCCCCCACTGGAATTACCCTTGGAATGATCCTTCTCCCCCCACTGGAATTACTCCCCCAATTAACCCTCTCCATTAATTAACCCCTCAAATTAATTCCTCCAGATTAATTAACTGTTAATTAACCCTCCAGAGACATCTCAACTTGCCCCCCCACTGGAATTACCCACCCTTGGAATGACCCCCCTCTGGAATTACCCCCAAAATAGCTCCCTCCTCCTTTAATTAACCCTCAAATTAATTCCTCCGGATTAATTAACCGTTAATTAAGCCCCAGAGACATCTCAAGTTGCCCCCCCCCTTTCACTGGAATTACTCCCCACCCACCCCGAATTCCCCCACTGGAATTTTCTCCAAATACCTCCCAAATTGACCCCTCTTCGTTTAATTACCCCCCAATTACCCCTCTTTAATTATCCCCTTTAATTACCCTCCCCATCCATGACCCACATCTCCCTGGGACGTGGGAGGCAAATCCCTGATCCTCCCTAATCCCAGCCAGATGGTGCCTCCCCTCCCCCCTTCTCATCCCTTCCCTCCCCCTTTGGAATCCCGAATCCCTTTTGGGGAAATTGAGGCATTTTGGGGTTCCTGGAATTCTGGATCAACCCCTCCCCTCTCCCACCCAAAATTCCAGGTCCCCCCAAATCCCGGGATTTCTCCCCCTTCTCCCTTCCCTCTCCCCCTTCAGAATCCTGAATCCCTTTTTTCTGGGAGGGGGTTGAATTTAGGGCATTTTGGGGTTCCCAGAATTCCAAACACCCCCACCCCCAATTCCAAGCTCCCCTCCTCCCAAATCCAGGATTTCCTCCCCCCCCCAGGAGATTCCAAGGTCAAGTGAAGGGGACGGAGGAATTTTCCAGGCTCGGCCTTGGCAGGAACCGGGAATTGAGGGGGGAAAGGGAGGGTTAAAGTCTGGGAAGCCCTCCCTTCCTTTTTAGCCCTCCTCCTCCCCTTTAGCCCCTCCCCCTTCCTTTAGCCCCTCCCCCTTTCCTTTAGCCCCTCCTCCTCCCCTTTAGCCCCTCCCCCTTCCTTTAGCCCACTGCTCCCAAACTGGGATTTCAGACCCAAACTGGGATCCCATTGCCCCCAGACTGGGATTTCAGCCCCAAACTGGGATCCCACTGCCCTCTAACTGGGATCTCAGCCCCCAAACTGGGATTTCAGCCCAAACTGGGATCCCACTGCCCTCAAACTGGGATCTCAGCCCCAAACTGGGATCTCAGCCCCAAACTTGGATCTCATTGCTCCAAACTGGGATTTCAGCCCCAAACTGGGATTCCACTGCCCTCTAACTGGGATTTCAGCCCCAAACTGGGATCCCATTGCCCCCAGACTGGGATTTCAGCCCCAAACTTGGATCCCATTGCCCCAAACTGGGATCCCATTGCCCCAAACTGGGATCCCACTGCCCCAAACTGGGATTTCAGCCCCAAACTGGGATCCCACTGCCCTCTCACTGGGATCTCAGCCCCCAAACTGGAATTTCAACCCCAAACTGGGATCCCATTGCTCCAAACTGGGATCCCATTACCCCAAACTGGGATTATATTGCCCCCAAATTGGGATCCCATTGCCCCAAACTGGGATTTCAGCCCCAGACTGGGATCCCATTGTTCCCAAACTGGGATTTCAGCCCCAAACTTGGATCCCACTGCCCTCTAACTGGGACTTCAGCCCCCAAACTGGGATCCCATTGCCCCCAGACTGGGATTTCAGCCCCAAACTGGGATCCCATTGCCCCCAGACTGGGATCCCATTGTTCCCAAACTGGGATCCCATTGCCCCATACTGGGATTTCAGCCCCAAACTGGGATCCCATTGCCCCAAACTGGGATCTCAGCCCCCAAACTGGGTCGTCCCCTCCCCCAACCCACCCCTCCCCCAACCACTCTGTGGGGGGGGAGGGGCCACAGTAAAAAAATCGCTTTATTGTATAAAAAAAGCTTTTTAAAAACCCGCGAGGGAAGGGGGGAGGGGCGTGGCCAAGCGGCGAGGGGCGTGGCCAAGGGGTGGATGACGTCATGCAGGAACCGCGTGGGCGGGGCTAGAGCGAGGGGGCGTGGTTTATCCCGAGTGGGGTGGGGCTAAATCATAAAGGGGGGCGGGGCTTACTCGTGTGGGTGGGGCTAAATGCAGGGGGCGTGGCTAAAAACGTGGGGGCGTGGCTAAAAACGCGGGGGCGTGGCTAAAACGCTGAAAGCATCAGGAATAATGAGGGGTGTGGCTTAACTCGAGGGGTGTGGCTAAATGAGGGGAGTGGCTAAAAGAGGGGCGTGGTCAAAGGATGGGATGGGGGCGTGGCAAGCGCGGAGTGGGCGGGGTTCTGGCAATGAGGAGGGGGAAAGGGGCGTGGCCGAGGGAAAGGGGGCGTGGCCTCCGGGTGGGCGGGTCAGTCGGAGTCCCCTGTTCCCTTTGAGCAGCAGTTCTTCCCACGGGGCACCTGCCCCTCCTCCGCGGGCGACGCCCTTGATCTGGGGAGAGGGTCAGGGACCATCAGACTCCACCCCCAAAAATCACAAATCCCCCCCAAAATCCCTCGAAAAGACCCCCAAACTCCTCCCCAAGCTCCTAACCCTCCCCGAATCCTCTCAAAAGAACCCCCAGAATTCCCCAAAAACACAAATCCCCCCAAATTATCTTGAAAGGACCCCAAACTCCCCTAAAATCATAAACCCCTCAAATCCTCCTCAAAGGGACCCCCAGATCCCCCTCAAAATCACAAATCCCCCTAAATCATCTTGAAAGGACCCCAGGACTCTCCCCAAAATCACAAACCCCTCAAATCCTCTCAAAGGGACCCCCAGACCACTCCCCAAAATCACAAATCCCCCCCAAATCATCTTGAAAGGACCCCAAAACTCCCCCCAAAATCACAAACCCCTCAAATCCTCTCAAAGGACCCCCAGACCCTCCAAAATCATAAACCCCTCAAATCCTCTCAAGGGACCCTCAGACCCTCCCCTCAAAATCACAAATCCCCCCCAAAACCCCTCGAAAGGACCCCAAACTCCTCCCCAAGTTCCCAACCCCTCCCTGGAATCCTCTCAAAAGAACCCCAGAATTCCTCCAAAAAAACACAAATCCCCCAAATCATCTTGAAAGGGACCCCCAGGACTCCCCCAGAATCATAAAGCCCCTCAAATCCTCTCAAAGGGACCCCCAGACCACCCCCCAAAATCACGAATCCCCCCAAAATCCCCTCGAAAAGACCCCCAAACTCCTCCCCAAGTTCCCAACCCTCCCGAATCCTCTCTCAAAAATCCCTAGACCCCCCCTCAAAATCATAAATTCCCCCCAAATCATCTTGAAAAGACCCCAGGACTCCCCTAAAATCATAAACCCCCCAAATTCTCTCAAAAGGACCCCTAGACCCCCCCAAAATCATAAACCCCCTCAAATCCTCTCAAAGGGACCCTCAGACCCTCCCTCAAAATCACAAATCCCCCAAATCCCTCTGAAAGGACCCCAGGACTCCCCAAAAACCACAACCCCAACTCCCCCCAAAAAGGACCCCCAGACTCCTCAAAACCTCAACCCTCTCCCCCCAAATGCCCTCGAGGGACCCCCAAAACCCCTTAAAAACAAATTCCACCCAAATCCCTCAAAGGACCCCAAAAACCAGAACCCCCCCAAACACCCTCGAAGAAACCCCCAGACCCCCCTCAGCCCCACCCAAGGGACCCCCAGACCCAACCCCTGCCCCCAATGGACCCCAAACGCCCCCCAACCCCCCAAACATCTCCCACCCCTCAGAAGGACCCCCAAACCCCCAAACCCCTCAGAGGGACCCCCAACCCCCAAGCCCCCTCTGAGGGACCCCCCAAACCCCCAAACCCCAGTGGGGGTTGAACTTCACGGCCTGGGGGCTGCCCCTCCCCATCCTTGGCCTCCAGGGCCTCGTTGATCATTTTGAACATCTCGAAGCGCTGACGACCCCGGATCTGACCCCAAACCCCAAAAAAAGGGGTCAGGGGGTCGTGAGGGAAGTCAACACACCCTCAGAGAGCCCCTCCCCAAAAAATTGAGTTATGGGGATCCTGGGGGTCAAAACCCTGCTCAAGGAGCCCCTCCCCCAAAAATGGGGTATTTGGGGATCAGACACCCCCTCAGGGAGCCCCTCCCTAAAAAGGGGATTATGGGGGTCCTGGGGTCCAAAAACCCGTCAGGGGAACCCTCCTCCCAAAAGAGGGTAATTTGGGGTCAAACACCCTCAGAGAGCCCTCTCCCAAAAAAAATTGGAGTTAGGGGGTCCTGGGGGTCCAAAACCCCATCAGAGAGCCCCTCCCCAAAAAATTTGAGTTAGGGGGTCCTGGGGAGTCCAAAACCCCATCAGAGAGCCCCTTCCCCAAAAATGGAGTTATGGGGGTCTTGGGGTCCAAACCCCATCAGGGAGCCCCTCCCCAAAAAGGAGGTCAGGGGGTCTTGGAGGTCAAAAACCCCATCAGGAGTCCCTCCCCCAAAAGGGTTATTTGGGGTCAAACACTCCTTAGGGACCTTTCTGTGCCCCCAAATCAACGCATTGAGCCCCCCAAATCCCCCTGGGACCCCCAAATCCCCCCAAATCCCCTCTAGACCCCCCAAATCCCTCTAGACCCTCCCAAATTCCCTCTAGACCCCCAAATCCCCTCTAGACCCCCCCCAAATCCCTCTAGACCCCCCCCAATCCTCCTCTAGACCCCCTCAAATCCTCTCTAGACCCCCCAAATCCCCTCTAGACCCCCCAAACTCCTCTCTAGACCCCAAATCCCCCAAATCCCCTCTAGACCCTCCAAATCCTCTCTAGACCCCCCAATCCTCTAGACCCCCAAACCCCTCTAGACCCCCAAATCTCCTCTAGACCCCCAAATCCTTTCTAGACCCCCAAATCCCCTCTAGACCCCCCAAATCCCCTCTGACCCCCCTAAACCCCCTCTCTAGACCCCCCAAATCCCCTCTAGACCCCCCCCAAATTCCCTCTAGACCCCCCAAATCCTCTCTAGACCCCCCTAATCCTCTCTAGACCCCCCAATCCTCTCTAGACCCCTCAAATCCTCTCTAGACCCCCAAATCCCCCTGGGACCCCCCAAATCTTCTCTAGACCCCCAAATCCTCTCTAGACCCCCCAAATCCTCTCTAGACCCCCAAACCCCCTGGGACCCCCTCCCCAGGACAGACCTGCAGGTAGAAGATCTCATTGTCGGGGTTCAGGACCCTCTTCTTGGAGCTCTCGGGGCTTCAGCCGTGGGGGCAGGGCTGAGGGGGTAAAGGGGGGACACAGGGAGGGCTCAGGCACTTGGGGACCCCCAAAATCCCAGGGACCCCCAAACCCCCCAGGGACCCTCAAACCTCCAGGGACCTCCCTCCCAATTCAGACCACGCCCCCATATTTGGCCCCACCCCTCACCTCTCTTGGCCCCACCCCTCCTTTTTGACCACACCCCCATATTTGACCCCACCCCTCATCTTTATTGGCCACGCCCCCTAATTTTGGCTCCACCCCTCAACATTATTGGCCACACCCCCAATTTTGGCTCCACCCCTCATCTTTATTTGCCACACCCCCAATTTTGGCTCCACCCCTCACCGTTCTCGACCACGCCCCATATTTGGCCCCACCCCTCATCTTTGTTGGCCACGCCCCCAATTTTGGCTCCACCCCTCATTTTTATTGGCCACACCCCCAATTTTGGCTCCACCCCTCACCGTTCTCGACCACGCCCCATATTTGGCCCCTCCCCTCGACTTCATTGGCCACGCCCCCCATATTTGACCCCACCCCTCACCTCTCTTGGCCCCGGCCCCATTTAGACCCGGCCCCTCCCCTCCATTGGCCCCACCCCATGTCTGGCTCCACCTCACCTCTCTTGGCCACGCCCTCCCGTTTAGACCCCGCCCCTCGTGGTGGGCCCCGCCCCTCACCTCTCTTGGCCCCGCCCCCGGCCCCGCCCCTCTTGCGCTGATTTTCCTCCTCGATGCGTCGGTCGCGCCCGGGGCAGGCGCAGACCCGGACCTCGAAACAGCGCCGGCCCAGCAGCTGCCCCCTGAGAATGGGGGGGTCAGGGACCCCAAAAACACCCAAAATCATCCCAAAAATCATCCTGGGGACCCCAAAAAACCCCCCAGAGACCCCCCAAACCCAGCAGCTGCCCCCTGGGGATGGGGGGTTAGGGATCCCAAAAACACCCAAAACCACCCCAAAACCCCCCAAAAACACCCCAAAAACCATCCTGGGGACCCCCAAAAACCCCCCCAAACCCAGCAGCTGCCCCCTGGGGATAGGGGGTCAGGGACCCCAAAAATCATCCTGGGGACCCCAAAAAACCCCCCAGAGACCCCCCAAACCCAGCAGCTGCCCCCTGGGGGGATGAGGGGGTCAGGGACCCCAAAAACACCCAAAAAACACCCAAAAACACCCCCAAAAACATCCAAAACCACCCCAAAACCCCCCCCAAACCCAGCAGCTGCCCCCTGAGAATGGGGGGGTCAGGGACCCCAAAAACACCCAAAATCATCCCAAAAATCATCCTGGGGACCTCCAAAAACCCCCCAAACCCAGTAGCTGCCCCCTGAGGATGGAGGGTTAGGGACCCCAAAAACACCCAAAATCATCCCAAAAACACCCAAAAACACCCCAAAAACCCCCCAGAGACCCCTCTAACCCAGTAGCTGCCCCCTGGGGACAGGGGGGGTCAGGGACCCCAAAAACACCCCAAAAACCCCCCCAGAGACCCCCCAAACCCAGCAGCTGCCCCCTGGGGATGGGGGGGTCAGGGACCCCAAAAATCATCCTGGGGACCCCCAAAAACCCCCCAAACCCAGCAGCTGCCCCCTGAGGGGATGAGGGGATCAGGGATTCCAAAAACACCCAAAAACACCCAAAACCACCCCAAAACCCCCCCCCAAACCCAGCAGCTGCCCCTGGGTGACGAGGGGTCAGGACCCCAAAATCATCCCGGGGACCCCAAAAACACCGGCCCCAAAAATCATCCTGGGGACCCCAAAAACACCCAAAACCACCCCAAAGCTGCCCAAACCTTGGCTGGATGAGGGGGTTAGGGAACCCAAAAACACCCAAAACCACCCCAAAACCCCCCAAAAACACCCCAAAAACCATCCTGGGGACCCCCAAAAACCCCCCAAACCCAGCAGATGCCCCCTGGGGATGAGGGGATCAGGGACCCCAAAACCCCCCAAAACCACTCCAAAAACCCCCAAAAACACCCCCAAAAACCCCCCAAACCCAGCAGCTGCCCCCTGGGGACAGGGGGGGTCAGGGACCACAAAAACACCCAAAATCATCCCAAAAATCATCCTGGGGACCCCCAAAAACCCCCCAAACCCAGCAGCTACCCCCTGGGGATGGGGGGGGTCAGGGACCCCAAAAACACCCAAAATAATCCCAAAAACACCCAAACCCCCCCCCCAAATCCACCAGCTGCTCCTGGGGATGAGGGAGTCAAGACTCCCAAAAACACCCAAAACCACCCCAAAAAACATCCTGGGGACCCCCAAAAACCCCCCAGAGATCCCCCAAACCCAGCAGCTGCCCCCTGGGGGGACAGGGGGTCAGGGACCCCAAAAATCATCCTGGGGACCCCCAAAAACCCCCCAGAGATCCCCCAAACCCAGCAGCTGCCCCCTGGGGGGATGAGGGGGTCAGGGACCCCAAAAACACCCAAAACCATCCCAAAACCACCCAAAAACACCCCCCAAAAACCCCCAGAGACCCCCCAAACCCAGCAGCTGCCCCCTGGGGGATGGGGGTGTCAGGGACCCCAAAAACATCCAAAATCATCCCAAAAACACCCAAACCCCCCCCCAAAAACCCCCCAAACCCAGCAGCTGCCCCTTGGGGATGGGAGTCAGGACCTCAAAACACCCAAAACCACCCCAAAAACCCCCCCAAACCCAGCAGCTGCCCCCTGGGGATGAGGGGGGGTCAGGGACCCCAAAAACACCCAAAACCACCCCAAAACCCCCCAAAAACCCCCCAAACCCAGCAGCTGCCCCCTGGGGACAGGGGGGGTCAGGGACCCCAAAAACACCCCCAGGGACCCCAAAAACATCCAAAATCATCCCAAAAATTATCCTAGGGACCCCCAAAAACCCCCCAGAGACCCCCCTAAACCCAGCAGCTGCCCCCTGGGGGGATGAGGGGGTCAGGGACCCCAAAAACACCTCCAGGGACCCCAAAAACACCCCAAAACACCCCCAAAAATCACCCAGAGATCCCCCCAAACCCAGCAGCTGCCCCCTGAGGGATAGGGGGGTCAGGGACCCCAAAAACACCCCAAAAATCATCCTGGGGACCCCCAAAAACTCCCCAAACCCAGCAGCTGCCCCTGGGGGATGGGGGGGTCAGGGACCCCAAAAACACCCAAAACCACCCCAAAACCACCCAAAAACACCCCAAAAACACCCAAAAACCCCCCCAAAAACCATCCTGGGGACCCCCAAAAACCCCCCAAACCCAGCAGCTGCCCCCTGGGGATGGGGGGGGGTCAGGGACCCCAAAAACACCCAAAATCATCCCAAAACCACCCTGGGGACTCCCAAAAACCCCCAGAGACCCCCCCAACCCAGCAGCTGCCCCCTGGGGACAGGGGGGGCCAGGAACCCCAAAAACACCCCCAGGGACCCCCATAAATCCCCCAAACCCACCCCTGACACCCCCAAACCCAGCAGGATTTTGTGTTTTGGGGTTCCCAGGATTTCAGGGCAGGGATTTCCCAGGATTTTGGGGTTCCCAGGTTTTTGGGGTAGGGAATTCCCAGGATTTGGGATTTTGGGGTTCCCAGGATTTTTTGGGGGTCTCACCCCGGCCCCTCGAGGGTGAGGATGGTGAGGATGGGCAGGGGGTTCCCAGGTTTTGGGGTTTTTGGAGTTCCCAGGTTTTTGGGGTTCCCAGATTTGGGGTTTTTGGGGTTCCCAGGTTTTGGGGTTCCCAGATTTTGTTTTTTTGGGGTTCCCAGGTGGATTTTGGGGTTCTGGGGTGGTTTTTGGGGTCTCACCCCGGCCCCTCGAGGGTGAGGATGGCGAGGATGGGCAGGGGGTTCCCAGGATTTGGGGCTTTTGGAGTTCCCAGGTTTTTGGGGTTCCCAGATTTGGGGTTTTTGGGGTTCCCAGGTGGTTTTTGGGGTCTCACCCCGGTCCCTCGAGGGTGAGGATGGCGAGGATGGACAGGGGGTTCCCAAGATTTTGGGGTTCCCAAGAGGTTTTTGGGGTTCCCAGGTTTTTGGGGCAGGGAATTCCCAGGATTTGGGGTTTTTGGGGTTCCCAGGAGGTTTTCGGGGTCCCAGGATTTCAGGGCAGGGAATTCCCAGGTTTTTGGGGTTCCCAGATTTGGGGCTTTTGGGGCAGGGAATTCCCAGGATTTGGGATTTTGGAGTTCCCAGGTGGATTTTGGGGTTCTGGGGTGGTTTTTGGGGTCTCACCCCGGCCCCTCGAGGGTGAGGATGGTGAGGATGGGTGGGGGGGTTCCCAGGTTTTTGGGGTTTTTGGGGCAGGGAATTCCCAGGATTTTGGGTTTTCGGGGTTCCCAGGATTTCAGCGTTGGTTCCCAGGTGGTTTTTGGGGTTCCCAGGTGGATTTTGGGGTTCCCAGGTGGTTTTTGGGGTCTCACCCCGGCCCCTCGAGGGTGAGAATGGCGAGGATGGGCAGGGGGTTCCCAAGATTTTGGGGTTCCCAAGAGGTTTTTGGGGTTCCCAGGTTTTTGGGGCAGGGAATTCCCAGGATTTGGGGTTCCCAGATTTGGGTTTTTTGGGGCAGGGAATTCCCAGGATTTTGGGGTTCCCAGATTTGGGGTTTTTGGGGCAGGGAATTCCCAGGATTTTGGGTTTTCGGGGTTCCCAGGATTTCAGGGTTGGTTCCCAGGTGGTTTTTGGGGTCTCACCCCGGCCCCTCGAGGGTGAGGATGGCGAGGATGGGCGGGGGGTTCCCAGGATTTTGGGGTTTTTGGGGTTCCCAGATTTTGGTTTTTTGAGGTTCCCAAGTTTTGGGGTTCCCAGATTTGGGGTTTTTGGGGTTCCCAGGTGGATTTTGGGGTTCTGGGGTGGTTTTTGGGGTCTCACCCTGGCCCCTCGAGGGTGAGGATGGCGAGGATGGGCGGGGGGTTCCCAGGATTTTGGGGTTTTTGGGGTTCCCAGGATTTGGGGTTTTTGGGTTCCCAGAATTTGGGGTTTTTCGGGGTTCCCAGATTTGGAGTTTTCGGGGTTCCCAGGTGGATTTTGGGGTTCTGGGGTGGTTTTTGGGGTCTCACCCCGGCCCCTCGAGGGTGAGAATGGCGAGGATGGGCAGGGGGTTCCCAGGATTTGGGGTTTTTGGGGTTCCCAGGATTTCATGGTTCCCAGATTTGGGGTTTTTGGGTTTCCCAGGATTTTGGGGTTCCCAGATTTGTTTTTTTGGGTTTCTGGGGTGGTTTTGGGGTCTCACCCCGGCCCCTCGAGGGTGAGGATGGCGAGGATGGGTGGGGGGTTCCCAGGATTTTGGGGTTCCCAGGTGGATTTTGGGGTTCCCAGGAAGTTTTTGGGGTTCCCAGGAGGTTTTTGGGGTTCCCAGGATTTCAGAGGTCCCAGATTTTGTTTTTTTTGGGGTTCTGGGGTGGTTTTAGGGTCTCACCCCGGCCCCTCAAGGGTGAGGATGGCGAGGATGGGTCTCCTGTTCATGCCCCCCATGCAGGAGCTGTTGCACATGAAGTTGTAGAGGATCGTGGTGCAGTCCGAGCCCACCTGGGGGGGGACACCCCGTTATGGGGCAGGGGGGACCCCAAAACCCAGCCCAGCACCCACCCCAACCCCCAGACACCCCCCCAGAGCCGCCCCCGGGGGGGGTTTGGGGTCCCACAGGAAATATTTGGGGTCCTGAGGGGGTATTTGGGGTCCCACGGGAAATATTTGGGGTCCTGAGGGGGTATTTGGGGGTCCCAAGGAAATATTTGGGGTCCTGAGGGGGTATTTGGGGTCCCTGAGGGGGTATTTGGGGTCCCCCACGAGGTATTTGGGGTCCCACAGGAAATACTTGGGGTCCCTGGGGGGATATTTGGGGTCCCAGGGATGGTTTTGGGGTCCCAGGAAGGGTTTTGGGGTCCCACAGAGGGTTTTGAGGTCCCAGGAAGGGTTTTGGGGTCCCACAGGAAATATTTGGGGTCCTGAGGGGGTATTTGGGGTCCCTGGGGGGATATTTGGGGTCCCAGGGATGGTTTTGGGGTCCCAGGAAGGGTTTTGGAGTCCCATGGGAAAGATTTGGGGTCCCACAGGAAATATTTGGGGTCCCTGGGGGGATATTTGGGGTCCCAGGAAGGGTTTTGGGGTCCCACAGGAAATATTTGGGGTCCCTGAGGGGGTATTTGGGGTCCCAGGGAAGGTTTTAGGGTCCCTGAGGGGATATTTGAGGGGTCCCAGAGGTGTATTTTGGGATCCTGAGGGGGTATTTGGGGTCCCAGGAAGGGTTTTGGGGTCCCAGGGAGGGTTTTGGGGTCCCACAGGAAATATTTGGGGTCCCAGGGAGGGTTTTGGGGTCCCTGGGGGTTTTTTTAGGGCGTTCCAGGGGGGTGTTTTGGGGAGTCTGGGGGGTCTCAGGAATTTGGGGGTATTTTAGGGGCTCTGTGGGGTCTCAGGGGGTTTTGGGGGGTCAGGGGTCACCTCAGGTGTCTCAGAGGTTGGGGAGGGAGTCCTGGGGGTTTCTGGGGTCCTGGGGGAGTTTTTGGGGTCTCAGCAGTTTGGGGGTTTGGGGGGTCTCAGGGGTTTGGGGAGTCAGGGGTCACCTGGGGGTCTCAGGGGTTTGGGGTCCCAGAGGGGTTTTTGGGGTCCTGGGGGGTTTTTGGGGTCTCAGGGGATTGGGGGTCCTGGGGAGGTGTTTTGGGGGGTCTCGGGGGGTCTCTAGGAGTTTGGGGGGTCCTGGGGGTTTTTTGGGGTCCTGGGGGGGGTTTGGGGTCTCAGGGGGTCCTGGGGGGTTTTTGGGGTCTCAGGGGTTTGGGGGTTTTCGGGGAGGGTCTCAGGGGGTTTTGGGGGTCAGGAGGTCACCTCAGGGGGCTCATAGGGCACGGCCACGCTGTGTCTCTTGGTGGTCTCAGGGGTTTTGGGGGTCCTGGGGGTTTTGGGGGTCTCAGGGGTTTGGGGGTCTCAGGGGGTTTTGGGGGGCTCAGGGGTCACCTCGGGGCTCTCAGAGTTTTGGGGGTCCTGGGGGTTTTTTGGGGTCTCAGGGATTTGGGGGTCCTGGGGGGTGTTTTGGGGTCCTGGGGGTTTGGGGTCTCAAGGGTTTAGGGGGGTCCTGGGGGGTTTTGGGGTCTCAGGGGATCCTGGGGGGTTTTGGGGTCCTGGGGTGGTGTTTTGGGGTCTCAGTGGTTTGGGGTTTGGGGGGTTCTGAGGGGGTTTTGGGGGGTTAGGGGTCACCTCAGGGGCTCGTAGGGGCACGGCCACGCTGTGTCTCTTGGTGGTCTCAGGGGTTTTGGGGGAGGTTTTTGGGGTCTCAGGGGGTTTTGGGGGTTTGGGGTCTCAGGGGTTTGGGGGTTTTGGGGGGTCTCAGGGGGTCAGGGGTCACCTCAGGGGGCTCGTGAGGGCACCGGCCACGCTGTGTCTCTTGGTGGTCTCAGGGGTTTTGGGGGGGTCCTGGGGGTTTTTGGGGTCCTGGGGGTTTTTGGGGGTCTCAGGGGTTTGGGGGTCCTGGGGGGTTTTTGGGGTCTCAGGGGTTTTTGGGGTCGGGGGTCACCTCAGGGGGCTCGTAGGGCACGGCCACGCTGTGTCTCTTGGTGGTCTCAGGGTTTTGGGGGTTTTTGGGGTCTCAGGGGTTTTGGGGGAGTTTGGGGTCTCAGGGGTTTGGGGGTTTTGGGGGGTCTCAGGGGTCAGGGGTCACCTCAGGGGGCTCGTAGGGCACGGCCACGCTGTGTCTCTTGGTGGTCTCATCGTCCTGGTACCGGGCCTGGGGGTTCCCCTCCACCCGGATCAGGTGCTGGGCGGGGGCGTTGCCTGAGGGGGACCCCCAAAATCAGCCCCCAGACCCCCAAAATCAGCCCCAGACCCCCAAAATCAGCCTCAGACCCCCAAAATCAGCCCCCAGATCCTTAAATCAGACCCCAGATCCTTAAATCAGACCCCACACCCCCAAAATCAGCTCCCAGACCCTCAAAATCAGCCCCCAGATCCTTAAGTCAGACCCCCACACCTCCAGAACCCCCAAAACCAGCCCCAAAACCTTCCCTGGCTCCCCAAAATCAGCCCCCAGACCCTCAAAATGAGCCCCCAGACTCCCAAAATCAGCCCCCAGACCCTCAAAATGAGACCCCAGACCCTCAAATCAGCCCCCAGATCCTTAAGTCAGACCCCACACCTCCAGAACCCCAAAACCAAGCCCAAAACCTTCCCTGGACCCCCAAAATCAGCCCCCAGACCCCAAAATCAGCCCCCCAGACCCTCAAAATCAGCCCCAGATCCTTAAATCAGCCCCCAGATACTTAAATCAGACCCCAGGCCCTCAAAATCAATCCCCAGATCCTTAAATCAGACCCCAAACCCCCAAAATCAGCCCCCACACCCTCAAAATCAGCCCCCAGACCCCCAAAATCAGCCCCCAGACCATCAAATCAGCCCCCAGACCATCAAATCAGCCCCCAGCTCCCCAGAATCAGCTCCCAGACCCCCAAAATCAGCCCCCAGACCCCCAAAAATCAGCCCCAGGCCCCCAAATCAGCCCCCAGATCCTCAAATCACCCCCAGACCCCCCAAAACCAGCCCCAAAACCTTCCCTGCACCCCAAAACCAGCCCCCAGACCCTCAAAATCAGCCCCCAGACCCTCAAATCAGCTCCCAGACCCCCAAAATCAGCCCCAGACCCCCAAAATCAGCCCTCAGACCCTCAAATCAGCCCCCAGATCCTCAAATCAGCCCCCAGACCCTCAATATCAGACCCCACGCCCCCAAAATCAGCCCCTAAAGCCTCCCTGGACCCCCAAAATCAGCCCTCAGACCCCTCTAACCCCCCCCATGTCGGGGGTCTCTCACCATCCCAACCCCCTCAAACTCCCCCATTTGGGGTCTCTCACCATCCCCAGTGCCCCCAGCCCTCTTTAACCCCCCAAATCCTCCCCATTTTGGGGTCTCTCACCATCCCAACCCCCTCAAAGCCCCCCAATTTGGGGGTCTCTCACCATCCCCAATCCTCCCAGCCCCCTTGAACCCCCCCAAATCTTCCCCATTTTAGGGGTGTCTCACCATTCCTAACCCCCAGCCCCTCTAACCCCCCAATTCGGGGTCTCTCATCATCCCAACCATCCCAAACTCCCCCATTTTGGGGTCTCTCACTCATCCCCAAGCCCCCAACCCCCTTAAGCCCCCAAAACCTCTAACCCCCAAACCCCCATTTTGGGGTCTCTCACCATCCCAACCATCCCAAACCCCCCCATTTTGGGGGTCTCTCACCATCCCCAAGCCCCCAACCCCTTTAACCCCCCCAGCCCCTTTTAACCCCCAAAACCCTCAAACCCCCCAGCCCCCAATTCGGGGTCTCTCACCATCCCAACCCCCAAACCCCCAATTTGGGGTCTCACCATCCCAACCTCCAACCCCCAATTCAGGGTCTCACCGATCCCAGAGCCCCCGCAGCGCTCGTGGTGGGGGCACCTCCACACTACCTGCAACCCCCCAGCCCCCTTGAACTCCCCAAAACCCCCAAAACCCCTTTAACCCCCCAAACCCCCTCAAACCCCCAAACCCCCCAATTCGGGGGTCTCACCGTCCCCAGAGCCCCTGCAGCTCGTGGTGGGGGCACCTCCTGCAACCCCCAGCCCCTCTAACCCCCTCTGACCCCCCAAGCCCCCCAATTTGGGGTCTCACCGTCCCCAGAGCCTCCGCAGCGCTCGTGGTGGGGGCACCTCCACACCACCTGCAACCCCCAGCCCCCTTGAACCACCCCAAAACCCCTTTAAAACCCCCAAACCCCCAATTCGGGGTCTCACCGCCCCAGCCCCTCTAACCCCCCCAATTCGGGGGTCTCACCATCCCAACCCTCCCAAACCCCCCCAATTCGGGGGTCTCACCGTCCCCAGAGCCCCCGCAGCGCTCGTGGTGGGGGCACCTCCGCACCACCTCGGCCACGTGCTCGGATTTCTTGTAAACGGCCACGGCCCTGAGGAGGCTCCCGGGGGGCGGCGGGACCCCCACCCGGACCTGCACCGGGCACGGCTTGGCCAGGCGGCAGAACAGCTTGTTCAGCTCCCGGGAGTACTGGGAAAATTGGGAAAATTGGGAATTACAGAGGGAAATTGGGATGGGAAACCCTCCCAGAACAGCTTGTTCAGCTCCCGGGAATACTGCAGGGAAATTGGGAAAAAATGGGAAAAAATGGGATGGGAAACCCTCCCAGAACAGCTTGTTCAGCTCCCGGGAGTACTGGGAAAAAATTGGGAAAAAATGGGAAAAAATGGGATGGGAATCACCCCCAGAACAGCTTGTTCAGCTCCCGGGAGTACTGGGAATGAGGGGGAAAAATTGGGAAAAAATGTGAAAAAATGGGAAAAAATTGGGATGGGAATCACCCCCAGAACAGCTTGTTCAGCTCCCGGGAATACTGGGAAATTGGGAATAGGGGGGAAAAATTGGGATGGGAATCGTCCTCCCAGAACAGCTTGTTCAGCTCCCGGGAGTACTGAGAAAATTGGGAAAAAATGGGAAAAAATGGGATGGGAAACCCTCCCAGAACAGCTTGTTCAGCTCCCGGGAGTACTGGGAAAAATTGGGAAAAAATGGGAAAAAATGGGATGGGAATCACCCCCAGAACAGCTTGTTCAGCTCCCGGGAATACTGCAGGGAAATTGGGAAAAAATGGGAAAAAATGGGAAAAAATGGGAAAAAATTGGGATGGGAAACCCTCCCCCAGAACAGCTTGTTCAGCTCCCGGGAATACTGCAGGAAAATGGGAAAAATGGGAAAAAATGGGAAAAAATGGGATGGGAATCACCCCCAGAACAGCTTGTTCAGCTCCCGGGAGTACTGCAGAAATTGGGAAAAATGGGAAAAATGGGAAAAATGGGAAAAATTGGGATGGAAACCCTCCCAGAACAGCTTGTTCAGCTCCGGGAATACTGGGAAAAATTGGGAAAAAATGGGAAAAAATGGGATGGGAATTACCCCCAGAACAGCTTGTTCAGCTCCTGGGAATACTGCAGGGAAATTGGGAAAAAAAGAGAAAAAATGGGAAAAAATTGGGATGGGAAACCCCCCCAGAACAGCTTGTTCAGCTCCCGGGAATACTGCAGGGAAAAAATGGGAAAAAATGGGAAAAAATGGGAAAAAATGGGAAAAAATGGGATGGGAATCACCCCCAGAACAGCTTGTTCAGCTCCCGGGAATACTGGGAAAATTGGGAAAAAATGGGAAAAAATGGGAAAAAATGGGAAAAAAAATTGGGATGGGAATCACCCCCAGAACAGCTTGTTCAGCTCCCGGGAATACTGCAGGGAAATTGGGAAAAAACGGGAAAAAATGGGAAAAAATGGGATGGGAATCACCCCCAGAACAGCTTGTTCAGCTCCCGGGAATACTGGGGAAATTGGGAATAGGGGGGAAAAATTGGGATGGGAATCGTCCTCCCAGAACAGCTTGTTCAGCTCCCGGGAATAGTGGGGAAAATTGGGAAAATTGGGAATTAGAGAGGAAAAATTGGGAAAATGGAAAATAATTGGGATGGGAATCACCCCCAGAACAGCTTGTTCAGCTCCCGGGAGTACTGCAAGGAAAAAATGGGAAAAAATGGGAAAAATTGGGAAAAAATGGGAAAACTGGGATGGGAAACCCTCCCAGAACAGCTTGTTCAGCTCCCGGGAATACTGGGAAATTGGGAATAGGGGGGAAAAATTGGGATGGGAATCCCCCCCAGAACAGCTTGTTCAGCTCCCGGGAATACTGCAGGGAAATTGGGAAAAAATGGGAAAAAATGGGAAAAAATGGGATGGGAATCACCCCCAGAACAGCTTGTTCAGCTCCCGGGAATACTGCAGGGAAATTGGGAAAAAATGGGAAAAAATGGGAAAAATGGGAAAATGGGATGGGAATCACCCCCAGAACAGCTTGTTCAGCTCCCGGGAATACTGGGAATGAGGGGGAAAATTGGGAATTAGAGGGAAAAAACTGGGATGGGAATCCCCCCCAGAACAGTTTGTTCAGCTCCCGGGAATACTGGGAAAAATTGGGAATTACAGGGAAAAATTGGGAATTACAGGGATGGAAATACCCCCAGAACAGCTTGTTCAGCTCCCGGGAATACTGCAGGAAAATTGGGAAAATTGGGAATAATTGGGATGGTAATCACCCCCAGAACAGCTTGTTCAGCTCCCGGGAATACTGGGAAAATTGGGAAAAATGGGAAAAATGGGAAATAGATGGGATGGAAATCACCCCCAGAACAGCTTGTTCAGCTCCCGGGAATACTGCAGGAAAATTGGGAAAAATGGGAAAAAATGGGATGGGAATCACCCCCAGAACAGCTTGTTCAGCTCCCAGGAATACTGGGAAAATTGGGAAAAATTGGGAAAAAATGGGAAAAAATTGGGATGGGAAACCCTCCCAGAACAGCTTGTTCAGCTCCCGGGAATACTGGGAAAAATTGGGAAAAAATGGGAAAATTGGGAAAAAATGGGAAAAAATGGGATGGGAAACCCTCCCAGAACAGCTTGTTCAGCTCCCGGGAATACTGAGAAAATTGGGAAAAAATGGGAAAAAATGGGAAAAAATGGGAAAAAATTGGGATGGGAATCACCCCCAGAACAGCTTGTTCAGCTCCCGGGAATACTGAAGGGAAAATTGGGAATACAGGGAAAAATGGGAAAAAATGGGATGGTAATCACCCCCAGAACAGCTTGTTCAGCTCCCAGGAATACTGGGGAAATTGGGAAAAAATGGGAAAAAATGGGAAAAAATTGGGATGGGAAACCCTCCCAGAACAGCTTGTTCAGCTCCCGGGAATACTGGGGAAAATTGAGAGGGAAAAAATGGGAAAAAATGGGAAAAAATGGGATGGGAATCACCCCCAGAACAGCTTGTTCAGCTCCCGGGAATACTGGGAAAATTGGGAAAAAATGGGAAAAAATGGGAAAAAATGGGATGGGAATCCCTCCCAGAACAGCTTGTTCAGCTCCTGGGAATACTGGGAAAAATTGGGAAAATGGGAAAATTGGGAAATGAGAATGGGATGGGAATCACCCCCAGAACAGCTTGTTCAGCTCCCGGGAATACTGAGGAAAATTGGGAATGAAATGGAAAAATTGGGAATAAGAGAGAAAAACTGGGATGGGAATCCCCCAGAACAGCTTGTTCAGCTCCCGGGAATACTCGGGAATAGGGGAAAACTGGGAATGAGGGGAAAATTGGGATAGGACTCCCATCAGAACAGCTTGTTCAGTTCCCCCAAATCCCCCCAAATCCTCCCTGTGACCCCCCAGAGCCCCCAAATCCCCCTGTGACTCCCCCCAGACCCCTAAATCCCCCAATCCTCCCTCCCCAGACCCCCTAAATTCTCCTGTGACCCCCAGACCCCCAAATCCCCCTGTGACCCCCCAGACCCCCAAATTTCCCCCAATTCCCCCAGACCCCCCACCCTGAGACCCTGCCCCCCAGCCCCCTCCCCAAGCCCCCCAAATCCCCTGATTCCTCCAGACCTCCAAATCCCCTGTGACCCCTCCCAGGCCCCCAAAATCCCCTGTGACTTCCCCAGACTCCCAAATCCCTCTGTGACCCTCCCAGTCCCCCAAATCCCTCTGTGACCCTCCAAGTCGCCCCAGTTCCTCCCCTGTGACCTCTAGACCCCCAAATCCCCCAAATCTTCTCAAATTCCCCTTCCCACTCCTCTGAAATCCTGAGCCCCTCAACTCCCCGACTCCAAATCCCTCTCTGAGCCCCTCCCAGACTCCCCAAATCCCCCCACTCTCTCAGACCCCCAAATCCCCTGTGACTCCCCAGACCCCTAAATCCCCCAATCCTCCCCAGACCTCCAAATCCCCTGTGACCTCTCTCCCAGACCCCCAAATCCCCCAACTCCTCCCGACCCCCAAATCCCCCTAGACCTCTCCAGACCCCCAAATCCCTCTGTGACTCTCAGACTCCCAATCCCCTGTGACCCCAAATCGCCCCAGTTCCTCCCCTGTGACCCCCTGACCCCCCAAATCCCCTCGTGAGCCTCTCAGACCCCCAAATCCCCCTGTGACCTCCCAGCCTCCCCAGAGCCCCCCAGAGCCCCCACTCACGGTGCAGGTGACGGATTTGGCCGTTCCCGCCTCCAGGAATCCCAGTTGGAAGCCGTGGAGCCCCCGTAATCCTCGGTGGACGGGACCACCGGAGAGGGGGGCCACGGGGGTGGGGGAGGGAGGGGCGGGGAGGGGCGGAGGCTCACCAGGACTCCGGGGCTCGGGGGCACCTCCAGGGGCTCAGGTCCTGTGGGGAGGGAAAATGAGGATTTTTAGTGGGGGGGTCTGAGGGGTTTTGGGGGAGGGGTGATTTTGGGGGTTTTGGGGAGGGGGAGTCATTTGGAGGGTGATTTTGGGGGTCTGAGGAGTTTTTGGGGAGGAGTGATTTTGGGGGTTTTTGGGGTCTGAGGGCTCTTCTGAGGGGTTTTGGGGAGGGGGGTCGTTTGGGGGTTTTTTGAGGGGTTTTTGGGGGTCTGAGGGATTTTGGGGAGGGGTGATTTTGGGGGGTTTTGGGGGTCTGAGGGGGTCTGAGGGGTTTTGGGGAGGGGGTCGTTTGGGGGTTTTTGGAGGGGGTTTTTGGGGAGTCTGAGGGGGTTTTGGGGAGGGGGCGTCGTTTGGGGAGTGATTTTGGGGGTCTGAGGGGTTTTGGGAAGGGGGTCATTTGGGGGTTTTTGAGGGGTTTTGGGGGGTCTGAGGGGGTTTTGGGGAGGGGGGTCGTTTGGGGGTGATTTTGGGGGTGTTTGGGGGTTTTGGGGAGGGGGGAGGAGGGGGATCGTTTTGGGGGTCATTTGGGGGTGATTTTGGGGGTGATTTGGGGGTCTGAGGGGTTTTTGGGGGGTGATTTTGGAGGGGTGATTTTGGGGGTTTTGGGGAGGGGGTCATTTGGGGGAGGTCTGAGGGGCTTTTGGGGAGGGGGGTCGTTTGGGGAGTGATTTTGGGGGCTCCGAGGGGTTTTGGGGGAATCTGAGGGTTTTTGGGGAGGGGGGTGATTTGAGGGGTCTGAGGGGTTTTGGGGTGGGGAGGGATCATTTTGGGGGTTTTGGGGGTTCTAAGGGGGTTTTTGGGGAGGGGGTTGGGGGTGATTTTGGGGAGGGATCATTTTGGGGGAGTTGGGGGTGATTTTGGGGGGTCTGAGAGGGTTTTTTTTGGTGGGGGGATCATTTTAGGGGGTTTGGGGGGTGATTTTGGGAGGTCTCGGGTCATTGGGGTTGATTTTGGGGGGATCTTGGGACATTTAGGGCTCTTTTGGGGGTGTTTCAGGACACCTGGGGCCCATTTAGAGCAGGAAAAATCCCATTTTGGGGGGAAAAAGTCCATTTTCTGGGGAAAAAATCAAATTTTAAGCAGAAAAAAAAACATTTAGGGGGAGTAAAAACCCCATTTTGGGGGGGAAAATTCCCATTTTGGGTGACTAAATCTCATCCTTTGGGGAAAAATTTCATTTTAGCAAGAAAAAAAAATTTCATTTTTGGGTGGATAAATCTCATTATTTTGGTGACAAAATCCTGTTCTTGGGGAGGAAAAAAGTCCCATTTTGGGAGAAAAAAAAAAAGTCCCATTTTTGAGTGGAAAAACTCTATTTTTAAGGACAACCCCCCAATTTTTTTGGTGAAAAAAACTCTATTTGGGTGGAAAAAATTCCATTTTGGAGGAATAAGTCCCATTTTTAGGTGAATAAATCCCATTTTTGGACAACAAATCCCTTTTTTTTTTGAGGAAAAATCCCATTTTGGGACTCTAAGCCCCATTTCTGGGGGGATAAATCCCATTTTTGGGTGAATAAATCCCATTTTTAGGTGAATAAATCCCATTTTTAGGTGAATAAATCCCATTTTTGGGACAACAAATCCCTTTTTTTTGAGGAAAAATCCCATTTTGGATGAATAAATCCCATTTTTGGGTGAATAAATCCCATTTTTTTGAGGAAAAATCCCATTTTGGGACTCTAAACCCCATTTTTGAGGGGGTAAATCCCATTTTAGGGACAACAAATCCCATTTTTTTGAGGAAAAATCCCATTTTTTTGAGGAAAAATCCCATTTTTTTGAGGAAAAATCCCATTTTGGGACTCTAAACCCCATTTTTGAGGGGATAAATCCCATTTTTGGGGCAATAAATCCCCATTTTTTGGGGGTCTCTCCAACTCACCCACTCCCCGGGATCCTCGGGGAAGTTGTTGATGTTGTCGGGAAGCCTGGAAAGGGTTGGGGGGGATTCAATCCCAGAGGTCAAAGGTCAGCGGTGACCCCTCCCTGACCCCCCCAAATCCCACGAACCCCCCCAAAAATTCACATTTTTACCCAAAAAACTCCCATTTCCCCCTCAAAAATTACATTGTCCCAAAAAAACTCACATTTCCCCCAAAAAATCACTTTTTTTCCCAAAAAACCCTCCAATTTCCCCCCCAAAAAATCACTTTTTTTCCCCAAAAAAATCACATTTCCCCCCCAAAAATTCACATTTTCCCAAAAAGCTCCCATTTTCCCCATTAAAAACTAACATTATTCCCCCAAAAAATTACATTTACCCCAAAAAACCTCATATTTTCCCCCCAAAATTACATTTCCCCCCCAAAAAATTCACTTTTTTCACAAAAATCACATTTCCCCAAAAATTCACATTTTCCCAAAAACTCCCATTTCCCCAAAAATTCACATTTTCCCCAAAACTCCCACTTTCCACCCAAAAAATCACATTTTCCCCAAAACTCCCATTTTCCCCCAAAATTCACATTTTCCCCAAAACCTCCCATTTTCCCCAAAATCACATTTTTCCCAAACTCCCATTTCCCCCAAAAACTCCATTTCCCCAAAAACTCCCATTTTCCCCCAAAATTACATTTTCCCCAAAAATTCATTTTCCCAAAAATTCACATTTTCCCCCAAAATTCACATTTCCCCCAAAATCACCTTTTTCCCAAAACCACCCATTTTGCCCCAAAAACCTCACATTTTCCACAGGTCAAGGAACCCCTCGCCCCCAAAGCGGCTCCAGATCCTCG